TTGGGCGGTGGCGGATTAGGAGGAGGGTTAGGAGGGGGCGGGTTAGGCGGCGGGTTAGGCGGGGGTGGTTTGGGTGGCGGTGGGTTTGGGAGAGGATTGGGGGCCGGATTGGGAGGTGGATCTGTAGGACAGAAGCAGAAGAACACTGTTCCTTTTTCTACCCCTGAGCTAGAAAGTCGTACTTTTAGCAATGGTAAAATAATCAAAAGCGCCAAGTCCTGAAACTAGAAGGTCGCTCGCGCATCATTTGTATTGGGTATATCAGGGTATACGTTCATGACTTTCTAGCTGCTCAAGTCTTGGATTCTGTCAAGGACGCCTTTATACTTCAATGTCGAAGTCGGTAGCTCAAGCGGCAGGCGTTCTATCTCTCCCCAGATTTTGACGCGGGCGTTCCGTACCAGATGCTTCAACGGGGTAAATAAGAGTCCACTACCTTCCTGGCTGCAACGATGTCAATTATGATCAGTCGACAGAACGACCAACGTATCGTGAATCAGAACCGTGATAATCACTTGTAGATGGCAGGCCACAGCATCCCAACCTGCTGGACTTCGCAACGAGTCAGAATCTAACTACCCTTTGCTCCTGCATCGTTTTCATCCTCACCAGAACTCCCCGTCTCACGGACTCAAATCCGGTCTGAGATCCCTCGCACTCAGCCATCCTCATTCAGCATCAAAAACCACCATGGCCATGACCATTGATCCAAGCTGAGACATTGCAAGCCCCTTCTTAAGGTCAGTTTGTGTCAGCACGATGCTGGCTGCGCGTACATTCGCCAGAGTCAGACTCGATGTTTGCAGTGACATCTGTACTTCGAGCATCAAAAACCACCAGTATCGTGGCTCCTGCTCACTCTGAATAAGAATGTACGAGTCCACATTCCCAGACCCGGCCCCGGTCATTTGGTACTTGGCGTAGCAGCACTTTTCCCAGTCCGTCGTCACTTCGAATCCCGCGCAGTTCGGGTACGAGAGGCACACGGCCGCGCACTGTGACGGGGTGGAGGACTGGTACCCCCCCCCCCAGCACTGCCCGGTGTTGCTTAGCAGGTCGTGCCCCGCGTAGTCCGTGCCCGGAACCTTGGTCCAGTAGTTGGACCCGATTTGGACGACTGCGAGGGGACGTCATTTTGGCTTAGTAGTTCAAAAGTGTGTCACTACACTGCAGATTAGACTCTTCTCGCGGAAGTGTGTCTTAAAATGGAGTCGCCCCACTGCGTAGTTTTGTAAGGCAAGCCAGCTGTTGCGTAACGTTTCTCTCGTTCAATGAACGCAAGAGGTAGGCTGTGGGGATCGGGTGGGGGCTGCCGGTGCCTCTCACCAATCCGGGCCCAGTCCGCCAAGATACAAGCCAGAAGTTTTAATCCACAAGCGAGCTGATATTTCCGAAAGCAGAAGCCCAACACTTCAATCCAAACAAGCGGGCATGACGAGCTCACCTTGCGCTTCTGCCGATGGGGGCACAAGCAGGAGGACCAACACCCCAAGTGCAAAGCGCCAACCGGCCAGCCACTCCCTTTGCGGAGCGTGCCGCATTGTCTCCCGTTTGGAGACAGCCCAAACAATGATCAACGAAATCATGGCTCAACTGCGGAAGCTGGTCCGATGGGGATCCAAAAGGGGGATCTGATTTCGAAAGGCATCCCTACTGCGCTCTTCCCTTGTGGGCGGCGCATCCATCAAACTTGTCCTAGTAGCCGAGATTACTTGGGTTCTGGAGAGAACCCCTTCTCAGCTCACGAGTGGACTTTTCCAAATGATGCGGCGCTGTTTCGCAAAACGTGTCTCCTGCCCCACAATTCTTGCAGCAACTTTTGAACAAAAGTCCGATCAATTTTGGGTTGCTGCAAAGGTGACCCAAATGACTTGACATACTAAGGGGGTATGGGCTGAGGTAATCAGTCCGCCAGAAGAGGCATGTTCTCAATGTTCCCCCAAAGGTGGCCTCGCTTACAAATCTCTCCCCCTTGCTGACCTGAGTTAAGCTGAATAAGAGTCATTTGGGCCTGCACTTGATTTAACCGCTGAGGATTCATTGTATGCATTTTAAACGCCAGAGATCTCGTCCGACCTGTTGCAGACGACGCTCAATATGTGCACTGTCCATTAAGCTTTTGCAAGTAGACCGCCACTATCAATCTGAAGTTTGCCCTCTCACTTCATGACGCATATTGAGCCTGTACCTAAGAGATATCCTTGACCTAGAGCTCAAAGGGTGAGTTACACCAGCTGACCAGGCTTTCATGGAGCCCTTCTGCTCTGATGTAAGCACTTTTACAGCAGATGAGGACTTTGAATGTTGTATCTCCTAAGCAAAGTAAGACTGAGAGGGCCCGGTATTGCCTTCATACTAGCTGGACTACCCTCAAGCATCATCCTTCAGCTGAAACTAGTTTATCCGCTTCATGCGTCGAGCTCATGAGTAAGGTCATAGTCACTATCTGCAGCTTTCAAGGGGGAGGATGATCCTAGCTGACTTGTTAGTTTTATCAGAATTTTAGCCTGGTCCTGCCATCCAAATCTTGCTCAGCTCTGTCAGCAAAGCTAACACGTGGTCTAATACTCTTCTAATCTTTAATCTGTAGCCGGACATCCGAGATAAGAGCGGCTGGGAAACTTTAGCAGAACGTCAAGTAGCACGCTACAGTAGCCGCGTCGAAGCCGGCCTCGTAAGAGACAGCTAGGTAGAATCTCAGAGCTGAATTCAGGTACGGTAGGTAAACAAGAAGAGCCTGAACAAAGCAAGCCCTAGCCTAAGCGTCTACCCCTGCGGACTTCGGTATTGCCGTGGGTAGGAACACTCCGTGAGAGTTTTTGGCATGCCATTTTCTTGCTGTTCTGTGTGCGCCCTGAGCGTACGCGTTATTGAAAAAGGCGAAGCCATCGTATTGGTGTCGTGCAAGGCCGCCGTACGACGTCTGAAAGTATATGGCGACCGCCTGCCCGGCACCTTCCCTTGCGTGTCCGCCCTTTCACCCTTATAAGTCTGGCGAATCTTTGCGCGAGGGGAATGTGGGGAACACGCAATTCCCGGAGGTGCACATAGGGCGTTTAAAAGTTGGTGTACGGCATCGGCGACCTTAACCATCCGATGGGACGCCTGATATATCGGCTTTGCAGAATTCTGGTACAGTGGGTTTCGGACCGTCTTGTCGTATTGGGCGCTCAAAGCGGGTCGGCCGCCTGTCGCAGGTCGTGCGATTGGGATTCGCACGTGTGTCAAACAGTCGCAGGCCGTCGATCGGTCTCTTTTCAATTTCAGGGGGAACGGCAGTCCCCTTGGTAAGGCCGTCCGAATTTGATTGCCAGTTTCCTGTCCCCGACCGACCCGAATTCTGAGAAATAACCGAGTCGGGTGATAAAACATTTTGATAATCTGGATTTTTCAAGTGGCTATCTTCGAGCAAAAACTTGACGTTTGGTCCACGTTTGAGACACGAAAAGGTTAGTACCTCGAATTTCTGTCCAACTCACAAACTCAAGTGAACAAATCTGACGCAAATCAAAGCAAAACCGTGTGGTACGAACCGGGAGAGCCCTTATGTGAGTTATATTGGTCCGGTAACGCTGCTCATCTGGCAGATTAACCCTTACCATTTATCAGGGAATATTTATCAGAATGTTCCGACCGACCGACCCATCCCCGGAGGGGGTGGACAGGAAACCGGAAATAAAATTCGGATGGCCTAAGCTCCGGTTGAGTTGACGAGGTGGGTCTGTCCCACGTGGCTGGCGGCACAAAGCGCATCAAAGCCACCCGACCGTAAGATATTAACACTGTTTTAGACTTCTATATCGAACGGCTGAGATCAATGCCGAGTGCAGCACCGCGTGCTGCCAATCTAGTTAATTTCCATGGCCCTGCTTGGGTATACCTAGGACTAGTGACGATCGACCGACTCGATCAGAGTGACAGAGTCGGACTATGAGAAAGCACAGTCGACAATTAGGCTAACAGCCTGTGAGAGTATGGGTGCTCGCGCGTTTGCACCTCCCGAGCCAGTGAAATCGACGGCTAAGACGCCGCAGCCCTGCCGCGGTTTCCACTTCGCGGTCGTTCGAAGTCATGATGTGATCATCGGCCGGATACGTGACCGGAGCTGCGGCTCCCGTGCTGACTGCGGTCCGATGACCGCAAGGGGACCTTCGGTCCCCCCCGACANNNGCGCGCGTCGTCCGTCCGTCCGTCCGTCCGTCCGTCCGTCCGTCCGTCCGTCCGTCCGTCCGTCCGTCGTCGTCGTCGTCGTCGTCGTCGT